TTTATATATATATATAAAGAGTGCTAAATTAAAATGTATATTTTAGTCTGACTATTTTTTTTATTCAATGAACAATGTCCTTCCATTTCACAATTGCTGTGCTACTTTTAAAATAAATTGTATTGAAATACATTTAGGTTATACTGCAGTTATTGCAAACCATGTTTTTTCTAATCAAATAGCCTTATTAATATACCTGCAGGTAAGAAATTGTGGTCTAGAAACTACATTTTTTTATTCCAATAAAACTTCCACAAGGGAGGGGGAAAAAATTAAGAATAAATCCATAATTTGTTTGTTCTTCTGGAGATCAGTTCATGCAGCTTCCATGGATTCTAGTTAGTTTAACCCTGGAAATAAGGACCTTAATATTAACATTTCCACAAGCATTTAACTGCTTAAACACAGAGTAACGGAGCATAACCTTAAACAGCCACAAGCAGACAAAGGTCCATGACCAAAATACCTCTGGTTTCGAGTCTATAGGAATGCCTGGCTCCTCATCCTGGTTGAAAGAACAAGGAAGAGAACAGAAATGTAAGAGAAAGAGAGCTGAGATTAGCGAAAGATGTTAGGAGTGCTGCAGCAAGAGAAGAAGATAGATGAGGCAGGGTGCTGGTTAGACATTTATAATTTGCAGGAAATAAGTCAGGTTAGATTTTAAAGAATAGAGAGCAAAGATGACTTAGAGGGCTTATTAGAATATGGGATATTATGCCAAGAGTAGAAGAGCAAGGATGATGATTAGTTTCTTTAATAAAAAGAGGAAAAGAGAAAATGTTCATGCAAGACTGCACAATTGGTGTGCAAAATAGAAGCTTTTCAAATTAGGACTGCAATACCAAAGCGCTGTTCTCAAACCTTCTAAAAGGTTCATATAGTCATTATGTTTACTTAGCAGCAGGCAGAGGCTATTAGGACCTTTTTTGTTCATATAATTGATTCATAGTGTATTCACATGTTTGACCTTTTTTAACAATTATGACTGAAAACAGTTCCCAGTGCAATTTCTGGAACTGACTCCATCCTTTACCTTGAGCTCCAAGGCCTTTGTTGGCGTTGAACTGACAGCTCCAAGTGGCTGTTTCCGACCATCATGCTGCTCCATCTCCTGGTCTGTGTATCGGTTCTGGTCTTGGTCTTGATAGAGGTAATGATCATGGTCAAGATCTAAGCTGCCCTCTTGATCCAGATCTTCCCGGGACATAAACTGTGTGTGTTCACTTGAGCTTCTCTGAGACAACTGATCCATACTATCCCCTAAAGCTGAAGCTAAGAAGAAGGGGTTATAGGAGAGCAGAGAGAAAAAGTGTCTTTATTACAATACTTCGAAAAACAAACATTCAACAAGGCAATAAAAAAGTTTGGGTTCACACCTCCATCTATGCTTCGGGGCTGCAGGTATCGCTTGCTGACAGAACGATCAAACTGTGGGGCAGGCCTGTCAATCAAAGCACTTGCCTGCCTTGTCTGGGCTTGTGTCCTCCCACTGTATCGAAACTTGGAGCCAATTACGAGAAAGCCCTTAGGAGGTGGTTCAGGGGAAACCAACCTGTAAAAGAAACCTCAATTTATGAAAAAAACTTTGAGATTAACTTTTCTGAAAGAATTATACATCTAATTTTATGTTATTTTTACAAATAATGTACTAAATGTGTAGCGAATATAATATCACATTCGATAAGCATATGTTTTAAGGTTTAGGCTAAATAACACCTCAAAAAATGTCACCTGGTGAATGCGCTTAATGGAAGGCTTGAATTGTTGATGCCAGTCAATATTAATACTATTTATAGCTGAAACAGAAATATATTCTGAATTTTTAAATTACAGCTTTTGGTTTATAAGTTTTATAAGGGAATTATAGACAATTGAGCTGGCAAAAAAGGAGCTTTTAAATCTCTTAGTAAAGTGCTGGTTTATTAAGTATCTGTTAGAAATGGAAGGAGGAAGTGGGTTCACACATGCGCTGCCTTTTAATATTTGATTTTTGGACAAATATGTTCCCATAAAATCAACTAGATTTTTCAACAAATTATGGAACTAATCCTTCTTTATTCTGAACTTGCCAAACGAAAAGTTTCTTTTCACAAACGCCCAACAAAAGAAATTTAGCAAACTCACTCTCCTAGCAAGAAGATGTGTTCTACTACAACAGATAAAACATAGACCCCCAACCATGAAAGAGTTGTACGGAGAGATCGTAGGGTTCCTCCCAATAGAATGTTTGCGTTCCAAATTAAAGAAAATCAAAGCAATTTTTGACAGGTGCCGGGAGCCTTTGCTGAGCCATCTCCCAAAAGAAACAGCTGAAATTGCGTGAAAGGGGTATGACAATATCAGGTGGGGCCCATCTCCTGAAATCCTGCTTCATGATTCCTTTCCAAAAATACAGTGCCAACACCTGTGCTGCATATCTTATGTAATGTTGAAAATTGGAAACTATACAAGAGATACCTAAAGAGGATGTTGTGTTGATAAATGTGCTAAACTATCAATTATTTTACTGGAAATAAATTTTCCAACTCCGCAGAATTTGTTAGGTCATTCTCTAACACTATGCTTTCTCTGATTTTTCTCATAGTAGCTTCATCTGGTCTGTTCCTGTGTGGCTGGGACAGCATCCTGGACAGAAGTATCAGCTGTGCTGCTGCCATCAACAACTTTGTTTCTAGATGTTCGAGCTTGACCTGTTTTTCAGTGTAGTCCTGTTTCTCTGACTGTGACTGGCTGGATGTGCTCTCTTCGTCCACTGATGTGGGAACTGGCGCTGTGTTTCCTGGACTGGGCCACCTGTAGAACTAGTTGAAAGCTGCCTTTTGTATCTGTGCTTCTTTCTGTATATCTGCTTCTGTCTCCTTGAACCCCAGTCGGCCTCAGCAGATGGCCGCTCACTGAGCCTGGTTCTGCTGGAGGTGTCTTCCTGTTAAACAGGCATGCTTGTCGCTACAAGCATGCTTTGTTGCATCAACTCATTGCCTTAGAGGCAATGAGTTGATGCACTCAACTGGTTTTACTTAGATAGAAAACTAAATCTATTTGACTCTATGATCTAGTTGAATTGTAAAGTGCCTTGAGATGACATGTGTTGAGAATCGGCACTATATAAATAAACTGAATTGCATTGAATTGTAAGTATAACTTCTGGGCTTTTAATGTTTGTTCTTTTTTAATTATAGTCAACAGAGACCTTTATAGTCCAGGTCTCCCCAGTAGGTGACTTTGCTATTTTCATCTTGTGTGAATATTGTGTTGAGCACTGATACCCACATTTTCCCATCCATATTTGGTTACCAACAGACAGGCTTGTGCCTGCAGATTGCCACTATGGCTCCAGAGGGTTCACCTACTGAAGTGTCCAGCTTTCAGTAAGATCTTAAAATCAACTATAGTCAATTAGAGATCTAGTCTTGAATTGTTACCTCAAACAACATACATTCCAGGATTACAAAACAGTCCTCCTTGTACAAGTTGGGTTTATGCTTGACACGTCTGCCATGTCTGCAAAGCACTGCATGCTCCTTTCAGCATAGAGGCATAGAAAATGTTGGCCAGAACAGTTTTTTCTACTTTTACATATACTGTGGCTTTTTAAGTTTGCAGTCTTTTGCGCATTACTGCCTCCCAGAGTTTACCAGAATAGTGGAGAGTATAAAATACTGCAAATGTTTTGTTACTAATGACCTTCGCTGCTCATTTCCGTGCAGAAGATAGATGCTACAAACTTATTTGGTAGCAATTTAACACATTCTCAACCAGATAAAGACAGAATGCTCTCTGAAGAGGAGGAGTATTTAATTAAGTTTATTTGTTTCTTCAGAATGAAGGTAGAATGAAGAAGGACAGATAGAGGGATTTCTTTATTGTTTTCAAGAATGTTGTCCCTGCTCTACACTACGGATCTGGAGTAGAGCCGCTGTATGTCTACATCAAAAGGAAACCTTGAGGATTTTTTGAGTCTTTGCTCATGATCCCTACTGGGTTTCTCTGGAGTTTTCCAAGGACTTGTTAGATTTCTCTTACAGGCTTTGTTAGACACTATTTTTTTATCCTTAACTTGTAACTTGTTCTGTGCTGCAGTTATTTTTACCTGATAGCTCTTTGAGGATAACCTTTTGGTGCAAATATGATGTCCTTCACGTTAAGATCCTGCATTATTTTGTAAAAGAAAGGTCCAAAAGGTTTAAAAATAATCTGTTTTTATTATTTAGCTATTCATGTGTGAATAGCTTAAGACCTGCATACACTGTATGTCTTTAGTGCTTTTAGAGATGATTTTCCAGTCGTGCAACAAGTTTTTGGATAGTACTTTTGGCCAAATAGTGTGTTGTGCGCTCTGTTGTATAAAAGGGGGTGACCACAGGCGATTCGCTACTCACGCTGAGCTCCTGATCAGAAATTGTGGGTAACAAGAAAGTCAAAACTGTTTGATATTTTGGGTGTGGCTTATGTTGAAGTAGTGACACACAAGATTGAGAAATCTTACCTCTGAGATTTTCACACTACCCATATGCAAGTAATGTGCTTCTTCTTCTATGACTACTGACCTTTACAGATTTGCTTTAAAGTTTACATGACCTGCCATTAAAGAAAATTATAAATTTAGACTGGTAATTCAAATATTTTTAACTGGCATCTGTTTTTTTTTTCTATTTTTAAAGGATTTTTTTTTTTTTTTTCTATTTTTAAAGGAAGGGTATGTAAACTTTAACGCATAACAAAATTTATTGTGTTAGTGAGTTTTACAGTGGGAGTAGTCTGATCAAATCTGAGCGTCAGTTTGTATAGTGTGAGGACCTACAACTGTGAACTCTTGCACAATTTGAGTTATGGCTGCGATTGAAAATATCACAAAGTGTATCCCAGGATTTTATGTAGATTGCTTAAACATATCTAAAAGTTGTCAAATGCAAAGAAATCCACAAAGTTTTAAATGAAGAAGAGAGCAAACCTGCCTAAAGAGAGAGATTTTTATGGAAGCCCTTAGACCTGATGGAGATCAGGATTACTTTTTTTTATTAACAAGTCAGTTTATTAACAGTCAGTTCTTTTCTTTTTTTAGATAATAAAAACTGTGAGATGTCTTTCAACAGCATTCATATCCGACATGCCAAGAGTTAACATGCATGCAGTGTGCAAAGATGCATCCGTCCATCCATGTGTATGAAGTCCTACCTGAAGAAGGTGTGGTGTTCTATGCAGACCTTCCACAAGCGCTTGGAGGCCCGATGGTTGGGCAGCTTAAAGCCTATGGTGCTCTCAAACTGTTCATACTGAGTGTTGAGGGCGAAGGTGGTGAAGACGGTGGGGGGAGGGGGAGTGAAGAAGAAAAGGAGCGTGAGGGAACCAGGTGTGTGGACAGACAGAAGGATGGCAGTAGGATGAACTGTGTTTATTCCTGAGTAATGGAGAGAATAAACATTCTTTTTCTTTTTTATTTACTCATGGAACTGTATTCTATTTTCTCAGGACACAATGCCATCTAAAACTACCTTATAAATTTGTCATTTAAGAACCCAGCAGAGCAGTTCAGTGGTGCGCAGAGGAGATACTGCTAAATCAATAGTTATTAGTGATAAGGGATCTTCAAAGGCTGAAAGATGTCCATTGACATGAGAAGGTGAGCTTTTGTTCCACACAAAAAAATCTGCAGGGACAGTCCAGAATAAGAACACTTTAATATGCCAAAGAAATATATCCTCAAGGGACACCTGAATTGAAGGCTGACTTAAAAGATGAATATGACAAAGAAAGCGGCTGAACAAAATGGCCTTCGTGTTCACCACAAAGATATCAGTGAAAGTTTAACAGTGAAAGCAAAGGAGTCTGCAGTAACCTGGAGGCCAAAGGAGGAAGGAAAATCATAATAATTCAAATAATTGAAAACAAAAGTTAATTCCCTGCTTAATATGGAATCAAAAACCTCATCACAATTAGGGAGAAACAAAAGCAAGACATATCAACTCAATCTTTACTGAGGTGTCTCTAAGGGCTATGAATAATGACTATAGCGGATAAGGTGGATTGTACCAGATAAATCACAGAGGCAACACCTATCAAACCATGAAATGACTATTTGTGCTGCTTGGCACCAACCAAGAAGGACAAAGATGTAATTTTAACAACTGTGAACCCATGAAATAAAAATGTCCTGTTGGCTCTGTGCCTAATAATGTCCTTCTTTCATGTTTCCTGTCTTCTTCAGTGGCCATGTGGTTGTTCTTGTGAGAATGGGCATGCAATAATTCTGCAGTGAATTCTAGTTAAACCACATAAATCTGGAAAGATTACACATGTATAGTTTGGTTTACCTCTCCTGGACGGATTTTGATATAGAAGTTGCTTCTTTTATATGAGATTTTAAGGATTTTAGGCCAGGCAAAGCGATTGATCCTGAGGCGGTCTCTGTAGATGAGAAGCCCATTTGCACTGACGCCAAGCATTATGTCTATTCCCTCAGAGTCCTAGGAAAGGTAAAAAGATTTTCAAAGAGTAATCAAAAAAAGACATTAGGGGATACAGAATTCCAGCAGGAACAATGACAGTAATCTATTCCTGCCTTTGCATGATGAAGATCCACTCCATACATTGAGAGCTTCTTTGCATTTTCTAGGAAGTTCATCTCTGCTTCTGCTGGAGTCATCCCCCTAAAGAATAAATCCCAAAAGAGGATTATTAATTTACTACCATCACTTTAAGCTCATTCATGCATTGCTGTGGTAATCATAGTCATTTCTATTACCTATAGTTATGGTGCAACTCCATCACTCTCTCCTCCAGTTCTCGCGTTTGGTTTGGAGCAAAGTGGAAGTCACTGACGTAGTCTGGGCCATGTTCTTCAGGGTCGTAGTCTCCCAGTTCAGCCTGGACTGTGTAGGAGCCCAGCAGAGCATGTGTGACAAATGAGCATGGGAGGCGGCCAGAGAGGATGTCATCCCTTAGCTGTAGACACAGGTAGTACCTTATAAACAAATCAGAAAAATAAATGAGAGATGCAGAAAAAAAACTTATTTCAAAAACAAATCAAAGTCTTAAAAATCAGCTACTTGATCCTAGTCTTTGGTTTTCAGTGAAAATCCTTGCTATGTATGGCTCTTAGGAGGTTAGTGCTGGTCAGCAAACAGAAATGGTGCAACTAATATTTCAAAGTTTTAAATATGCTCAAGAAAACAAAGTGATGCAACTCTCTGCCCAATATCATAATCTACATATAAAAAGCAGCAATCGCAATGTGGCTCAGTAGTCAAAATAAAATTATCATATTTGCTTCCATCCGCTTCTTTAGAAGATCTTAGGGAATTATTTTTTCCAATAATCTGTAAACTGTGAGGCAACTTTGCTTATGGTATGCATCGAAATAGAAATAAGTTAATGATAAAATGCTCAACAGCACTCTTTTTGTCCCAAAAAACGAATATAGGTCTCGTATTTACAAACTTTGAAATGAAACACATGGCCTGCTACAGTATATCAAAACGGAATTGTTAGATTTATTTATTGTCATGAAAGTTAAATGGACAATCCAACTGCCATTTAACAAAAGGTATGTCTCTGTTAAAAGGAAGAGCTCCTAAAAAAGTTTAGATAAATTACTATTATCTTCCATTCATAAGTAAAATTGTTGGAGAAAAAAAAACAGCATTTCAACAGTTAAATAGCTTCTTAACAAAAACAAACGGCTTTAATATTTTTCGAACTTCTGTGCTCACCCCAGCACTGAGGCTTCCTTCATCAAAGTGTTCAACGATATCCACACAAACACAGTCTGGGAAAAAAAACCATAGTGCTGGTTCTGTAGGACCTCAGGGCAGCATTTGACACTATTCACCGTTAAATATTATTAAAGTGAATGAAGAACTGGGTCTGAATTGGTTCAAATCCTAACTGTGGAAGAAGGCAATTTTTGACATGTGGAGTACCAGAAGGTGCAATCCTGGGGCCCATACTATTTGATATTTAGGTACAAGATCCAACAATCCCAGATAATTATTTTTCTTTAATGAAGATTAGTTATCACAACTGTTCTGATAATACACAGCTCTATATCATGTTATGACCACCTTACTCCAAACCTATCCAAGTACTGGAACAAATTATTATGTGGGCCTTCTCTAAAAAAAATCTCCAGCAGGTACAAAGTAAGGTTTCTACCACCTGATCAACAACTCCAAAGAGTTTAAGAACTAATGTCAGAATAAGATCTAGAAACAGTCATCAAGGCTTTTGTCTTCAGTCGCTTTGATAACTCTATGGTAATGGTACCTTCATAGTTCTGCAAAATGAATATATTATAATCTATTTATAATAATCTATTATAAATCTCTCTTACAGCTAATCCAGAATGTTACTGCTTGCGTTTTCACAAAGACTACAAAAATAGAGCACATCCCACCAGGTTTAACAGTTCTTACACTGGATACCTTTAGCTAAGAGAATACAGTTAGAAGTACTTCTATTAGTTTATAAATCACTGTACAGTTTAGCACCACAATACAAGACTTACAATCACGTGTTCTGGTCCCAGTCTACCGTATTTCCCCAGAACCAAACATTAAGACTACAAAACAGCTGAAAAATTAAATCCTTTAGATTAAGGCTGAAGACCCACCTGTAAAATGCTACCTGTCAGTCACAGTCTACAAACCAGTCCAGATGAAAAGCTCCTCTAAACAAAATAATGTAACTTATTAAACAATGACTATGACCCTTTTATTATACTGTGTATCTGGTTGATAGATAGTATAATTGCGTGAGGTCATTTAGATGTTTTGATAATTTGCAGTCTACTTGATTGTTGTTTTTAATTATACAACTATACATTTAATCTCATGTTTTTTTTTTTTATGTAAAGAGCTTTGTATTGCCTTGCTGCTGATATGTGCTATACATTGTACTTAATCTACTGTACATACTAACTTTGGTGCATAGCTGAGGGAAAAAAGATTATAAAAAGTCTTGTTTTTCATCCCCATTTTTTTATTTGAATATTTTAAAAGAAATTAAAAGATTAAGTTCTGGTATTCCAGAAATAAATGGCATTTATTTTTATAAAAAAAATTTAGAGAAAGCCCAAAAAGTGATGCTTGCCTCCAGCAAATACCAGGTTTTTGACAGTCACAGTACAAGGTCGATAGAAGGGGCAGATTAGAACACAATCATTTAAATACCAAATATAAATATTTTTGTTTATTTTGTTAATTATGCCTAAATTACAATATTTTAAAAGTGAAAAAATACAAATAAGGCACTCTCTCTGTTCAGCTATTGCTGTAGTCCTGAGTTGGCTAAATTTGCTCATTACATAATGGACCCTAGACTTTTGATCCCAGCTGACTTTGATACCTTCATGATTTAAATTGGACCAAGGTATTCGATTCATGAATGCAAGATATATGGCAAAGAAATTAAAATTGCATTATTAGTGTGTAAAAAAGTATACAGCAAAGGTGTGTTTGGAGAGCAATTGTTGGCTAATTATATTCCAACAGTTACAAACTTGCATTTTAGATTTTAACTTCTAAAGGTCAGAGTGATGGAAGCACAGATGAATATAGGCACATCTCACAACGCATAATGTCTTTGAAATATTTACCATATAATATTTAAGGAGGCCCAACCAAGTGTCTAGAAAAACTTACTTATCAGAAGTTGAAATTTCTTTACTTGCATGTGTATTTGTGCTTTAACAGTTCTCCGATCCCCCAAAAATTATGCTGTACACCTTAAAAGGTCAAATATATTCAGAGAAGAAAAAAGGCTTTGAAGGAATTGAAATATGTCTTTGTCTAAACCCACTCTACCTTGTGATGTCTTCAATTAGCACAGATGGATCTGGTGGGTAAAACTTGACCGCAAACCCAAAACTCCAGGAACCAACTGTCAAAAGAAATTTTTTTTGGAAGATCTCAACTTTGAAATATGATGTGTGCACATCTTCCTATATATGTCAGATGTTGGCAGTATTTTAACAACACTTACCCCGAATCTGCTTCTTAATCTCTTTGGAAGGATCCAGCCAGTTCTGATAAGCACAGAAAACCCCTTTTAAAAATTCAACTCAGGCAGAATCTTCCTAATTCATATTTATAGATCGCTCTAACTGTTCCTCCCTCGATGAAAGCCTAATATATTCATGCTAGAGACTTGATTAAAAAAAGCTTCTATCATCATGAAAAGTGGCAATACTTGGACTAAAAATGTAAGCCAATTTTAATTTAGTCAGTTCAATGTCACTGAAGCTTTTGCAGCGTGCTGAACACCCTGTGCAGTTTTGCTAAAAGGCCAAGCTCCATGATCACATCTGAAAACATTTAATGTAAAATATTAAATGTCATGTATGTCATTCTAAATCTATAAGTGGTTCAGTGTTATTAAAAGCGCGACAGGAGTCTGAGTGCTCCCATACTGAAAAATAAGACAGGTGGGATAATCCTCTTAAATACTGGTAATGAGATTATTATTAAAACAAAGTAGCTTTTATGGAAAGAGAAATAATCTCTCAACTGCATCTATACAAGTGGTGCTTTTTCAGGTCTTTAATTGTAGAAAGTTATGAGTTTTTACAGCATTTAAAAGAAATTGCTCACAATAAAGGTAAAACCTTTAAAGTATTACAGTTGGTTAAAGCTATGTTTCTTCTGATAACCACATGTGGGCTTACAGTACAGCTTACGTACAATAATCAAAGTTCATGAAGCCAGTGTTAGGTATTTGTTTACATTTCTGGGTCCAACCTTAGAGTTATCGGAATCCATAAAAGACAGGCCAAAGTAGTCTCTCTCCAGCAGGTTCAGGTGGCCGCACACCATGTCTAGCAGGGTCTGGCCCTTGGCGAATTTCTTGTTAAAAACACAAATACATACATAATAGACAGGAAGACAAAAGAAGAGCAATCAACATGTGGCAAAGTATAACATTTAGCAAATATCACAAATCCAGCAAAGAATTTGTTATGTTGTTATTATACTTTCATATCGTTTCTAATATAGTTTTTGTCTGTATGTACCCAGAATCAGAATCAAGTTTATTGCCAAGAAGGTTTCCACTTACAAGGCATTTTACTTGGTGATGATGGTGCAGACAAATTGTGTATACATTATATATACAGAATACATATCAGTATCAGTTTCTCTTTTTTATAATCTATTAAAAAAGAAAAATAATAGTGGATTACAGATCTTAACAAAATAGCCAGTTGATAGTAATAAAGTGAAACCAACATCAACTTTATCTTTGATGTCATTTAAGACAACCAAACTTGATCATCTATAAAAATGATGATAAAGAACATATAGGAGCATCAACAACGGCATTTAAACCAACTGAAATATTTACTGAAATATCTATAAAATGTTACTTAAATAGTGGTCTTTCTGAACTAAATGTAAGTATTTAATTATTTAATACTTTCCACTATGACGCCAAGTACAAGAAATGTCTGCCTCTACAGGAAATAATAAATATATTGATAATAGGCAATATACAGTCCACATCTATGGATAAACATTAAATTGAGCTGTACAAGTTGTATGTCGTTGCAGAAAGTATTTATTTTTTATCTGCATTACAAAGTTTGAACTCAAGTAAAAATTAAAATTTCCTTCAAATTAATAAGTTAGAAATGTTGTCTCTGATTATTTATACTTTGTCCTTATTAGTTTCTACCTTCAAGTCAGATATGTCACCTATCCACTCTAACCTACTTCAAATGTGCTTGAGTTGCCCCCCCTGTTTAGCTTCAGCAGCCACTGAAAAAGCTTTTATGGCTATATAAGGGTTGAAAGAGCATTTTATATCATGTGGCGTTGGAACAAACCACACCCAGCTTCTATCAGGCTCTTCGGGGCTGAAATGAAGGCCTGCGTGGGTTGAGCAGGCAGAGCTGGCACAGTCAAACACACACATCATTACAGAGCACACACACACACACACCAGATAGATCTCCAAGGGAGACCTGGCTCTTATGGTGACAAGGCAACCAAGCAGCTGTTACCATAGAAACAGGAGTAATAGGTCCCTTTAGTCTGTGTGTACGCCCTCTCATTTCCTCCGTCTCCTTTTACTACAAGGCTCATGCAAACCTTTGTTTTGAAAAAAGCTGGAATTGCCGAAAAGATAACTTTAAAAATGAAGGAAAGATGATTGATTAATTTTTCCAGACTAATTTATTGTGTTTATTTCTCCAGAGAATGCTGGTTAGATGCCAGAGCGTTCCATCTAGTGAGTGTAGTATTTTCTCCCTCAAATTGAAATTGCGTCAAACATCATGTGAATTCCCAAAAGCATGGAAACCAATTCAGATGCTACAGATTAGATTTCCACGTCACATCAATTCTCTGAAGTCACATTTCTGACCGTATTTCTCAGTGATAATTGTGTTTTCTGCCATTTAGTAAAAATCTTTGAAATCCACTCTTTGCCAATTGATGTTGAGGACTAACAATCAGTACCTGTTTAAAAGGTCATAGATAACAATTTTTTTATTAAAACAAAAACTTCTAAAATAATAATAATACTTCCACAGAAAGAGTGGTACATAATAAAAATTATTTTACTTACAAAAAATGTGAATTGTTGAATTGTTTAACAAATTCTGACTTGTCCAACATCAACATCATGGAATTCTGCACCAATTGAGTTGAAGTCACGCTCAGGCGTTTCCAGATTGCAGTCACATTGTGATAACTAAAAAATGCGCTTCTTCTCAACATTAAATTTTTTAAGATTCAAGTAGACCGGAAAAAAAAATGAAAACAAGGGTGAATGCTGGTCAAGCTTTTGGGTGTTGGTGCTAATTTAAGGAAGAAGGGCTCAGAAGCAGCACAGTTTACCCCTTTCCTTCTGGACCAGCTAGTTAAATAATTGAGCATTTGTGGATCTGGAAGCCAGCTGGCAAACAGTACAATTAAAGGTTGGAATGAGAGCAGACCAGAATGAGTGTATTACCTACTGGCTGGGAGGAGTAACCCTGTAGCTATCTAAGTCACATCAAACAACCACTACAGTTTGTCACAGTATAAAAGCTTAATTTAGATTACGAAACCAATTCTTGGATAAAATATGTTTCATTGCCCTGCAAGGTAAAATGTACTCATTATTCTTATTAGGATTTAGCTTTTTTACTTCAAACAAAAAAATACCATACAATGTATAAGAAAAATATTACTTTTTATGCCTCAACATAATAATATACAGTTAAAAATTTAAGGTTGGTCACATATGTTTAAAGACATATGGTGCTAAAAATATCCTTTTGAATGAACCATGACATGCAGCAGCTGAGGAGAAGATCTAATTCTAAATGCAAAAGCAGCAGCGTATATTTAACAAAACATTGCTTGTTAACTGTAAAAAAAGTGTTGCAATTTGTATTTGACTGCTTTACAGATTCCTACCTGATCAAGGGCAAACATTTTTGTTTTCTTTTGAGAGCTAACTTCTTCTGCCAACTCTGATTCAATAGCTGTGGCAAGGATATTAGATACTATTGAGCAGGATGATGAATAACAAACTAAATTACTTATTAAATTAAAAAATGAGCAGGATGATGAATAACAAACTAAATTACTTATTAAATAAAAAAAAAAATAGATAGTAAAAGATTAGACTAAAAAAAATTTTTTTTGTAGTTAAAATAGTGAAACCAGGGGATTGGACAATGAAAAAATAAATAAGCTGTCTCATAAAATATTCTGTAGTGAAATACACTAGTTTTATATATATATTTTTAGATGAGTGCCAGATTCTTTACTAGATAAATAATTTAAAAAAAAAACTCAGGCAAGAAAACTGGACACATATAGCACTTTTCCCAGTCAATACCTATACTGTTGTGTGCTAAATATCAATAGTAGGTTTGTCCTTCTTCCCTGTTTCCTTTTAATCATCCTTTCCAGCTTGCTCTGCAAACATTACGACTCTAATTAAAGTAATGATTTCAGCGCATTTACCATTCAGTTCCAGTTTTCTTATACCCCCACATCAAACCACTCATCCATACTACAGCACACAAACAGGCACTCCCTGTTGTTTTCCCTCTGCTCCATCTTCCTCTCTACCTCCAAGTCCACCCTTCATCTTTTCCTCTTCTCTCCCTCTCCTGTTCTATTTTCTACCTCCGGTCAAACCTAAGAGCCCTCATGGATCAACTGTATGGATTTCCTGTCACAGCCCACTACCTCAAGTGTCACTTCCCAGATGACCTGTGTGTATGTGTGCATGTAGCTAAGACTGAAGAAAATATAGAGGCTGAGTTGAAGGAAAAGGGTATTTGTGTGTGTTATAAGAGGTCAGTTGTCTGGCAGTGAGCGATAAATGGAGTACAGTAGGTAATGGTAACGCTGCGACCAACAAGCTCAATCAAAGCCACCTCACACTTCATCAGTAGCCAAGGCAATGGGGCTCCAGTTAAGCTTTTGTGCATGAATCCATGAAGCTCTTTGAGCTCTTCACAGGATCCTCCAGTCTTCCATGCGACAACCCTCCCCATTCATGTCTGTTCAGAGGATGCATATCGTTTGGCAGGTGACTATGAAGATGTGGATGGCTGTAAAATTCAAATAAGCAGAGCAGAGGGGGTTCTGGGAAATCTGTCTGTTTACAAACACACTGACTCTACTGTAGCATAGAGTCGCACTTTATTTAAGCTTGGGATTGTTTATATGTCCTTCCCATCCCCCATAACCCTATTAATGGGAGCAGATACAGCATCACATTTTCTTCTGCTGGACTGTGTTGATGTAAAATTATGGACGGATAAGGCAACCTATGCTTTTGAACACATGCACTTGTTTTGGACAAACTACGGAGAAGCTAATAAATCAAAACAGACTCAATGGGAGTTTTCAAATCAGTCTATCTAACTATGTATATGAATGTGGAGGAATCTGGAGGATCATTCTGAGGACCGATGGCCTTATTGCACAAAGTGGATAGAATAGTGGAAACTGTGGATATTGTCTTCATTTCTTTTTCTTTTTTCTTCTGTACAATCCAGACACATTAAAGCTGGTTTTGAAATAGATTAAACAGGCAAAGAAGAAAAAAGGAGAGCTTTCGAGAGATCATTAAAAGCTTAGTCTGCTCTTGAAAACCCATATATTTTGTCAGGGTACTGATAGAAAAAGTCTTTAAAAAAGGCAGATATGTTGATCTATATAGGTCAATAATGATACACAATAGCATTCCTACTAACCTAAACATACCCACATATACCACACAATTTTAAAAAAAAATTTTCGAACCCTCGAATTTTCGAATTCATTTCGATTTTTCGGTCTTAAGGATAGTTAATAGGCCCGGTAAAAAGAAAAAGAAAAGACAAGCTCCTTGATTTCTGTCAATGAGGTACAACAAAAAAGACATGTTGGTAATCATGATCTATTCAAAACAAAAATAAAAAGCCAATTATACGTTATTTTGCAAAAATGGCTTTTTTCCTGACTCAAGTATAAAAGAGGGAGTTTGCTAAGTTCTACAAAGACTTTAAAAGGGCCTAGGATTTTTGTTTTTGGCCAAACCACACGAAGGGTAAACTTTAAGGAAACAAGCACTCCAGGGCCCCATCTCAGAGGGTCGAACAAGCAAAAAAAAAGATCTGGAGTAGACATCTGCATATTCTCAGTTATCGTTTAAGAAAAAAGACTGACATCTTGTTTTTAAATATTTATTGTCATCACTGTCACAAATTACATGATCTTACTTTTATGGCCACACTTAAATTGCCAGTAGCATGCTATGACAAAATTGAACCCACTTGGTTGGTGGCTCTAAGTTTTTAATATGATATAACAGCATGAGTATTGATATATCTGTTTTTAGATAGATTCCAGATCTAAATAAGCGGAATCTATGATAAACTAGTGCATGTGCATTATAGTATCAGCTGTGTTTTTTAAATTATGATTTTGGAAACATTTCAAGTAGGTAGCCATACCTCAACCGCAGTATCATAGTCAGAGCCATCAAGAAGAGTGACTTTCACGGGTACAGTCTTAAGCCGTTTAGTGGTTTTCTGGGGTGATCTGGAGGCTTTGCTGGGAGTCTTCTCTGAGCTATCATCCAGGTCTCCTGGGTCTTCAGGAACCTGTAAAAGAGTAACTCATCTTAGCAAGCAATAACGATTTCCAACACTAGGTATATCCAAATTCATTTAGTTAAATAATAATTGATACACTTTGAGCTATCTAACAGTTGGTTGTATTATAACACTAAAATATATGTTTGAAGATGAATGATGCATAGTAACATTTTTATTTTTGCAACAAAAGAGAAGAACTTACTGAACACCCATCACTCATACAAAAGTATCATTAGTTTCAGTCAGATTGAATGGCAAGCAGAGAAAATAGGTAAAAAGTAAGATAACACATAGCTATACATTAAATACATATACATACGTATATATATTTATATATGTATATATACATGTGTGTATATACGCATAAATATATATATATATATACCTATATATATATATGTATATACCAATATTCTCAAATCCCAATTAATATATATTATTATAAATATATTATTATGAATATTTTAAGCATTTAATCAAATAATTGACTTTCAATAAGTTCTCATATCATCCATCTATTTAGTTCTAATCTCAAAGATAAACAACCAATGCATGCAAGGTCAGCTACTGCTTTAAGATGTTAGGTATTGGCACTGACAGGAAGGACAAGCTGTCTTGCATTTCAACTAGAAAGCTGGAAGGGACCTAAGTAATTGAGCGGACTACAGCTGCTGTGAGTTTCACAATGCTCACACCTGATTGGTCCTCCTGGCGTCACCCTCCATTGCCGTCTTCATTTCCCCTGCCAAAATCGTCTCTGTTGTCATTGAAATGGATTACAGCCCTGCAAATGCATGAAAAACATAAACAGTCAACATCAACTCTGTTTCCATCATTTCCAAACTCAGTATGAAGCTTTTAGCGACGTGGAAATTCAGTTTGTTTGGTGAGCTCAATTAGACTCAGGACCTGTGAGCCAAATGCTTTCACATCAACAGGCAGCTCACTGAATCTTAACTTTAACTGACATTTGGTGGTGAAATCAACGCTGCAGGTTTTTCCAGTAGCGACATCTCATTTAATTTTCTTTACAGCAGATATCCGCTACCAAGGAGGCTTTAATTATTCTCAGCTTCCATTTAGTATTGGTGCATCTCCTAATATATGAATGGTCATTGCATCGCGAGCATGGCAAAAGGGTAAAACTCAGCGGGGCCTGGCTTACAGCCTCCCACAGGAACACTCAGCTTGAAGAGAGTTGGCTTCAAACCCTTTTTTCTCACGCTAGCAAAGAAGATAGCATAAATTACATCAGGCTGAGAGCCCTGCAGCAGCGCACTGAGATAGAGAATGAAAGAAAGACACAGAGGAAGGGGAGGACACAGACAGCGTGTCTGAGACGGGAGGAGAGAGGAAGGAGTCAAAGGTGAGGAAGAAGAGTGAGGGAGATGAGAGGAGTGTTAGAAGTATAAAAATGTTGCAACATGCCAGTAAGATTGAAACAGGGGCAGCTTATATTTAAAGGTGACCATTGCTGCACTGAAAATGGACTCCTGCACAGCAGCAATTGTCCAGGATACACACAGAAAAATTGCTGATATTCAGATTAACTTTTATATGCCAGAGAAATAAATTATGCAAGATAAGGAAATTTAGCATTACTACAAAAGGTGAGAGCAGGGTCACAGGCCCCTGGAAGTCATTAAATAGTGCTGTGTAAGGTATGACGCACCTTGCAGATGTGATACGTTAATGTTTCAGATCATCATCTTATTTGAACCACCAGGCCAAGATAACCCAAGTTAAAAATAGATACTTTTTAGGTCTTAAAACGGCTTAGGAAAATATATCCATTCAAAACCCTGGGACTTTTGAGAGGCAATAGAAAAGGAGCTATTGCCAGGTACAGCAAAACACAGAATGGAATGTATCCACAAAAGGCGGAAGAAATTGTTTTTAGATATTAGGGAGCAATTACTTGTTTACATAAGAGCAGAATGGTTTTAATGTTTTTTGTCTTTATAAATAAAATGATATAAAAAAAATATGTAAAAACAGACCACATGTGTAAGAAGGTGAATACTTTTGTCACAGCAATTTATGCCAGCTGAATATTTTCAGATGAATTTGGAAATAAAAAAATAAATAATTTAGATGATTTACTGTTTAAAGTTTCAAAACGTACAATCCAACTAAAAATATATAGTAATGATCAAATTGTGGTGTTTTATACTTTTTTAAGCACCATTTCCTTCATCAACTAAGCTACCAATGGATTAATAAAAGGCCTAAACAGGGAGCATGAATGATTACACTTATAAGCCTTAATCCACTGAAATTACCCTACTTGCTAAAACATTTTGTAAACCAACACAAATTTTCTGCATCATCGCGCATCATTAATTTACAGTCCATGATGGTGTAGAGTGGCCACCCATTATTCTTCATTTCCACAATGTAATGACTTTTCTTTTAGCAGCCAGCAGGAGAGATATCAATTAGCTATGCCTCTTCTGGCTGCAGTTCCCAGCATGAGGACAGAGGGCAGAATTTTCAAAGAAAACTTGATGAACATTTATAATAAACATAATGACTTCATACTTATCAAGCTAAATAAATGTGCCAGTAATTCATAACCCATCAGTCCTTTTAGGCTTCTGGGCCTAATTGAACTGTTGTTGATTATTCCTGCTGTAAACAGGTACATCTGGAAAAAAGGCAAAAGATACCAGGTAAAGTAAAGATGAAGTTTTTGTGAATTGTTTTAAAAAAGACAAAAAAGTTTTCAACTACAAAAAAACAGGAAATATATTGATTCTTATAATGACCAATAAACGTCTAAAAACACAAAAAGTATGCTTATGTGTGTTATCTCTTAGAGAGAATGCCCTAAATAAATAAAACTTTTTTCATCCGCCAGTTATTTCTGTTTGTGAAGCTGTAGCACAGCATGTCTTTTCTTTAATGACCCTTTAGTTTGGTTCCTCAAAGCTGAATGCAGTCTGGCTCCTCAAAGGCAGCAGATGTCATATGCTCTTTCAGATCCGCTTTATCAAGTTCAGAGAGGCTGTTAGATGAATTTATTTTTGATTAGCCATAAAGCAGGGTTTAATTTGTTCAGATGTAGTCCATGTAGGCCAGTGGTGGGAAGTAACTAGTTACAATTACTCATAACCTACTTCTATGAGTACCTTTACTGTACCATGCTTTTTACTTTTACTCAGGTGATAACCTTGTGAAGTTTCACTAATTCTAAATTCTGGATACTTTACTGACTGCAGGTAACTGAAGCCATTTGGAGATCATACGAATATACAGTAAACAGTGGATATGGTCATTGGTAGTTAGTTACTCTCTTCTACTGTAACACTTACACATTCATGTAAGCTAAAAATGTGTAAAATTGGTGTAAAGACTGGTTTTATAATGTTGGTGTTTTGGTTATTACTGCTTCTTCTTGAATTATTTTTTGGGGGTAGTTTGCCCACTTCTGCCATTGCTCATTGTCATCGGCAGGCAGTGCACCTGGTACCTAGGCCTTCAGTGGGCAACTTTACACACTGATTATAATTTTAAAATTATTTTCTGTTGTCAAAACGAATTACTGTTATATGCATTTTTTTGTCTCTGTGTTTGTTTACTAGTATTTAGCCAGTAAAGCAGTCCCTCAACATGAGTTTCTAGTCTTTTAAATGATTTGACTCGATTTAGGTCTGATATTTGTTCCATTCTAATGCAACATGACTGTGCCTTCATCTCATCTATTTTATCTCAGGTTAAATGTTTAAGGTTGTGGTTCTGAGGACAGGTTAACCTCCACCCCAGTTCCTGGTCTTTCAGAGTCTCAAACAATACAGCTTACTGTACCTTGCATTTAGGTTAATCTTTCTTTCCATTAACACTGACCAGGGTTTCTCTGTCTGCTGAATTAAAGCATTCCCGATGCAAGATACTACCATCCTGATGTTTCACTATAGCAATGGTCTTCAATGTGATGTGTAAGGCATCCAGCGCAGATAGCATTTTCTATTTGGTCTCGTTTGAAAGAAGATCTTGCTTCCACAGCCTTTCTGTGTCAACTATCAGGCATAAATTGATATATTTGCAAATAATGCCTTAATTTGCAGATTTTACTTGTATAGTCTATCCTAAATCAGTCCCTGAACCAATAGCCAAAATTGTATTCCTGACCTGTCCACTGTTTTCCTTACTGTTTGTTACACTCTTTACTAATGTTTTTTTTGTAGATTCCTGAGACCTTCAGAGAAGTGCGGACATGGTGAGGAGATTAAAAGACAAATTACAGTTGAAGGGCAGACAAACGTGTGAAATAAGAATTCCTACCCAGGGAGGTTTTGATCCAAATTCATTTATTTTACCAAAATAGTTCAACTGACTGGAATCATCAAGACGGAAAAAAAGGTAATGAAAGGGGTTTTATTAATGTGATGCCCACAAAGATGTTTCTATTGATAACTAAGAAAGGAATCTACCTTTAAAACATGCCATCTGGAGGAATATTCACAACTAAAACTGCTTTTTTATTTTTTTTTTATTTTTTATTATCTTTTGAAAGATACTTCCTTTTCTAACATCAAACATACCTCTTTTTGTGCTGAAAACATATTTTAATCTTAATCAAAATTATTATTTTAATAAAATGTTTCATTAGCTGTACCTTTTTTTGTCTTCACTCACATTCCAAAATTAGCTGCTGCTTTGTGCTGTCCTACCACAAAGATAGAAAAAAATTACAATAACAAATGAAAGGTAATATGCCTATAGCAAAAAGACCAAAATTCCATTGATTATAATAAAATAAGGGTATATACTCCAAGTGTCCACCCTGAGAGTGTTTTGATTGCCCTTTTTGAGCCTAAATAGAACCACAGCAGCGGTCGTGAAATACAGACATGGCGCCATCTACAGGAAGTACAGCTGAACTATTAAAAAGCCAGATAATGGCCATTGACGCAGCTACTAAATAAATCCAGATCATATTATAATTCCTTTTGAAAAACCCAAAGGCTGAAGGGCATGGCTTAAAAGCATTGTTAACACATGTAGCTCCATTAGCAAGGACATGTGTTCAAGTGCTATCAGCAGAGACATCAGAGCTTTATCCCCAGCTTTAGTGTACTCCAACAGTCATACTGTTTTCCCTGCAGAACTCCTGGTCACATGATGTTGCATGGTAATTATACAGAGTACGGCTATATCTACTAACAAACTGAGCACAAACAAAGCTTAAAAGACACAAATAACAAATACTATTCGAGCAGCAAGCTGTAATTTTGTGACAAAATGATGTACAAAATGCCACCAGAATGAGATAGTATTGAATCTAAAAAAAAAAGGTAATATGACTGCACATTTCAAGTTTGGTGTGGTACTTTGACAAATATGGAAAAGCCCTAAATATTTGCAATAATGTAATGAGAGGTATTGTCAGAAATTTGTTCAAATCTCAGGTCAGTTCTTTATTTCACATCCAACATATCTAATTCCCAAAGCTCCATAAAAGCTAATTTCATTGTAACACAAGTTTTCATTGTCAGTCTTAATGAAGCAACTGCCAGAATGATGTACCAGTGAATCACAACGAGACTTGAATAAAACCTTTTTTTCTCCAACTTCAGAGCTCTCATTTCACAAATGTCATGACTGCAAAGTTAATTAATTATATTATTGTGGGCTTTTTTATGAGTCAGTCACTTCAGGTCTGCATCCGTTTTGGTCTCTGCACATTTAATCATCTCTGTGAGAGTATTAATGGGGTCTGAGATGTGTGGGGTGCTAAACTTAAAATTCCAGCAACAATTATAGTAGGCTCCCATTTAAGGT